AATCTCAGGATCGATGCCAGGCATGTCTTCATAGGACCACACAAAAACATCTTTGAAATCTTTTAATAAAGCGATTAAACGCTCGTGTTCTTCCGAAGACAACGTGGACCCGATGTGGACCAAGCGAGGATCCTCCTTAGTACCCACATTAATTGCAATGATTTCATCTATGCGGGGCGTGACACGTCTCTCCTCTTTTTGGTCAACCAAAATTTTCAAAGCCCGAAGAATTTCTTCCTCCTTATTTAAGTCAAAATTTTGAAAATCAAGATCAATGCAACAAACTAAAGGCACAAAGAAGTAAGTGAAATCTACTACATTCCCATTAATAAAGTCAAGATCCTCTGTTACAATCAACTCAAAAGAAAAGCTAAAAGAAAACCTAGACGGGACCGTGGTATCCAGGTTACCACCCCCAAAAGTACCAGACTCTGACTCCTCAAAAAAACTCGAATCTGATCCCGACTAGAAAACAGACTCGGTGGAATCAGATTCAGACTCATTATCTGGTTCAGAATTACAAATGGTGCTCTTCTCAAATTGCCAGACCAAGTATGGAGCCTCAACTGCATCCACGATGAGACCGGAGAAGTCTATCGCTGGTTTATCCCTGATCCTAGAGATAGTAACACTATCCCCCAAGTTAACAAGCTCAGCCCCATCATTAGAATTCATTAGTAGGTCAACTAGTGCCATCCCTAACAGCTCCTCTTTGTCGATGTCCAAGCTTGCAGTCCTGCCTTGCTCTGTACTGCTGCTCAAGTTCGTCTGCTCATACTCATCTTCTAGTAACTAGTGTCCGAAGAAAATCTCAAATCTCAGGTACCTTGTCTTTGTTTCCGGGTCGACCCGTGGCTCCGGAAATCCACAGAAAGGGAAATCTTCCCTTTGTCGAACAAAGCGTCCATTCAAGGTCCCCTAAATTGGCTTGCAAACCAATTCATATTGTCTTCCGGCCCCCTTTGCTTTGAGTCTTCCTCTTTACTCATCTCCCTTTCTCTTCTAGTCTTCAGCAGTAGGCTTATACCCCAGCCCAAAAGCATGGGGGTTATGACTCATCTCTCTGGCAATAGTACCTTTTTGCCTGCCACTTCTACCCAGTCCTGATCCGGGAATATGCCCATGTTTATTCATCATGTAGATGGACTTTGCACTCACGTAGTTCCTAGCATCCTCCGCCATGATAGATTATACTAGTCGGGCCTCTGCTCTCATCTGGTGCAGCCAAAGCCTTCCCAGGAATAGATTGAAAGTTGCCGGTACATCCATAACATGGAATTCAACCTCATGCTCAAACAGGCCAATTAGTGTTTGGCTCTTGAAAGTCCCCATGACATCCCGGCTGGTGTTGTCATAGGCTCAAACAACTTGAGTTGTGGGTGTGAAGTCAGCCAGCTTCAAACCTATGGTGTAAGTAGTCCTTACCAGACATACGTGAATTGCTAAGCCGGTGTCTACTAGCACCACCGAAATCTACTTCTTCTGGCTTTCCAAAGTCACATATAGGGGTCTATTGTGGTTCGCCCCCTCAGGTGGCAACTCTTTATCCGTAAAAGATAATACTGGAGTAACATCCCCAAACATGTCCAATGACACCAGTTGATCAGCGGTGGTGTCGATAAGTAGCTTTGTTCTATTCATTACCTCTAGCAACGCCTGCCTATGCTCTCGGGAAGCCATTATCAGCCCCCAAATTGATATATTTACATGGATCTTTTTAAGTTGCTTTAAGACCAAGTTTTCCTCTATGTCTTTCTCCTTCGATTTCTCAACCTCTTTCCCAGAGGATTCTGGCTAATCTAAAGCAGGGGTTTTGAAATACCGACCACTTTGGGTCATGTAGTTAATCTCATCTACATACCACGTGTCGTCAGGCGTATCGACTTTCCACCCTTCATTAGTATATGCATGGCTCAGATCATTGTCCTCCCACCACTCCCCCACAGTCATTGCTGGGTTACAATCAGGTTCCACCTAGAGCATATTTACATCACGCCCTCCATCGGCACACCACTCCTCTTTTACAGCAGACTCAATCTCTGCATTTCGGCACTGCCTGAGCTTCCTTGGTATACTTTCCCTGTCACTAGATTTTCACTCAAGTTTTCCCGTGGTTTGGACATTGTCCGCTATTGATTCGACCTCTGCTTTTCTCTTCCCTTTTTTCTACTCCCTGGCTATCTTCCTCTGGATTTCCTCTATCCTCTCTCGTTGGAATTGCTCCAATGCTCGTTCCTTGTAAGTCATAGGCATGGCCTCAGTCATAAGCACGGCCTCAATCTTGCTAATGTCACTCGTTTCCTCTCCTTTCACAATCTCTTTTGCCTACTCCTCCATATCTAATTCATCTTCACTCAACCACCCGTTGCTGGATTCAGGCTGGCTTGGATCCCACCACTCAATCTGTACGCTACCCACATCCTCTTCTTCGAAGAAGTAGAGGTTCTCCAGATCTTCCTCTAGTTCTGCCAGGTCTTTTTCTAATTCTGCCAAGTCATTAAGGCCTTGTTCAGGTCAATCATTCAAATTTTGGCCTAGCTCATTGTAGACACCCCATTTTTTATTGCCCTTAAGACTTTAGCGCCACCGATTGATCACCCGATGATGAATGTATACGCTTGTCAAAATGCTCGATTTTCTCAACAGAAAGCCTCGGATTTGAGCATCAGAAACCTACAAACCTTGCACCATTTTTGGACCAAAACTGTAGTTTTTCAAGCCTGATCACTCAATGGCCTGCAGACCTACTAGTGGCTAGCCGACCACTTATTAGTGTACGGTCGTCCCTTTCAATGGCCGGCCAGCCACTTGTATCAAAAAACCAGATCTTTTTGCCAGCTGTCTCCATAGATGCATGCACTACACCAGTTGTGTCTGTATTGATATTTCTGAGGTAGTCTTATATATTCCTATATATAGATGACCCCCTCTCATAAAATTAGGTTAGAAAAATTTGGGAAAGGAAAATTCTTAAAAAAATTATCTTGCAACCCAAACATACCTTACATAGACCTTCTAAACCAGATTTTTGAGGTCCCTTTGCTGAGGTTCTTGAGCTTGCATTTTAGCTCTTGAGGGTGTGAAATTGGTGGTTTATAATTCAAAGGGTCATTCCCCTTTAAGAGGTATAACTCCAAGCTTCTTTCTCTTATTTATCCATCATCATTTATTACTGTTTTGTACTATTTTTCACCTATGTTTATGGGCTGAAACGTGTGGTTTAAGGCCATTAAATGTAGAGGGGTTGACCACCCTTCTTTGAACCTTGCTTCCTATGCCTTTACCCTTGTGTTTCCCACCATTTCATCAACTTTTTTTTGAGCTTTTTACCACTAAATTTTAGAGATTTTTAGAGGCTAAAAATGATGTTTTGAAATCCCAAAAATGAAGGGGTTAGCCTCCCCTCCTTGTGCTTGTTTACTAGCTTAATTTCCTCAACATTGTAGCTTACTTTTTCAAGCCTCTCCATGTGAATTTTAGTCCTTTTTTTTATTATTATTTTAGGACTGTTTTAGTTTGTTCATTTCATTTATGCTTTGTATACCATGCTTGTAGTGTAATAGTCCTCATAGGTTTGGTGTTTTAAGCATTAGACACCAACCTATTTGAGTTGATAGCATTTATTTCAAGATTTTCATAGTTGTGTTCACCTTTAATCACCTCTGCACCCTCCCTCTTTTCTTGGCTTTTTCTCTTTGTTTTGAGAGTTGCTTCAAAATGAGCGTTGTTTAAGCTTGAGATGTGACCTTGTGCTTAATAGTTTAATCTCCTCGGAGGTTCATTACCAACGGCATGATCTCTCTTTTCATGCCTAAAGCAACCCTTGGTTTGACACTCCTCTCCATTAGTGGACTTAATCTTCATTTTTGGACTCAATCGATTAATGAATTGGAGGGTAATTAAATGGAGTAATAAAATTGGGGCTAAAATGGAATAAGATAATAAAATTAATTTGGGTTCAATCGGACGTTAATTGAATCCTTGGAATCTTGAATCATTTCATACTTGTTAGTGATGAAAATTGTTCAAGTTTCTAAGGCCAACCACTTTCCTTGATAAAATATAAAGTTTAAATTGAAATTATGAGGACCAAACTAAAACTTTGCTCATCCTAGATATACCAATGATATAATTAACCTTAAAAAAAGTTAATTGGTGACTTGGCCAACCAAAGGGCTGTCACAATTAGTGAAAGTACACAGTGGCTGATAATGTTAAAACGGAAGATAAAATATCCACTACGACAGAAAAAATGGAAAAGATTAGGTATCTATTAATTTATGACACTAACTACTTTCTTAACAATTTTGAAGTTCCAAAATGCAAACATTTAGGAAAGGGAAAAGAAAAAAGACAAGAAAAATGAAAATGAATACAACTTAGATATGCATATCATAAGCCAAATTGAAAACATAATTGATGAGTAATTACAGATGAAACTAAGGAGCATAAAAGGCTATTAGTGAAGAGAGATGCAAAACAAAAACAACAAATCAATTATTGATCAACAAAAGAAATCATCAAGAACTGTGCTACTTCAAAGATCACAATAAGGGCATAATCTGATCATTTTGATAATATATTTTCTCCTTACTTCAAGTGTGTTCCACAACAATTTAATGGTTGAGTAATACAAGACCTAAGTTGTTTTGTATGAAGTTTGAGTGGCCTTGTGATAAAAAAAAGGTAAAGTTGCAATTTTTCCTGTTTGCATTAGAAACTAACTTCCATTTATATTCTTATGCATTATACACACACACACATATATATATAACAATATCTATTATTAGTGAGTCAAAGTATATAGGATAAGATTGTTGCATCTCTATGAAACAGAAAAATTACACATGTTTCTTCCACATGTTGTTGTTCATTGGAGATTACAAACCAATACTTGCATTGGCAAAAGAAGACACAGTGACGGAATTGCACTATAGCTTTTCCTTGCATTGCAGCCTTCAAATACTTTCTCCAATTTATTAGAATACATAATATATTTACTACGAACAATTTATAATTGACTTTGTATGAGCTATCTTCTTCTGAACCTTCTTTGATCTCTTCCCATGTTGACACATTTTTACACCAAAAATCCTTACGAGCCATTCCTCTTTCCTTCGAATAATGTAACTTCCAATCAACAAACCAAGCAATACGCCGCACCCATATCCCATCAACACAGCTTCCCAACCAAAGCCATCAAATTTGAACTTAAAATTGTGGCTAAATGAAGATGGTAAAGTTGGTGATTCTGCTATCTGGACATTCCCACAATTCTTTGACAATGGAAACCCGCACAAGCCTAGATTTCCCTCATATGAAGTGTTTGAAAATGTTTCAAATTGCAGACCTCGTGGTATAAGTCCTGTTAGATTGTTTTGTGAGAAATTAAGAACTTCAAGGAATGTCAATTTAGTCAGTTGCTGAGCAATCTTTCCAGATAGTTTGTTTTGGGATAGATCCAAGGACTCGAGCTCACTTAGATCCCCCAAGGACACTGGAATGAGACCTGTGAGGCCATTACTTGAAAAATTTAGGACACATAGGGCTTTGAGTCTTCCAATGGATATTGGAATATTTCCATCAAACTTGTTGTGTGAGAAATCAACAGCATTGAAGATGGTGATGATCCTTACGAGTTTCATTTCAAGTCCTTTATTCATTATGGTTACCGAATAATAACCATAACCATTGCGCATATAATGTGAGGAGGATTTGTCTTCCTCATCCATCATCATTGAATGCATGCTCTCAAAGAATTTTGATGGCAAAGTACCTGTAAATTCATTGTGAGACATATCAATGATATGTAAATTGGTGAAGGCTAATCTCTTCCTTGGTTGCTCTATGGGACCTTGGAATTTATTATCTCGCAAGACAATAATCTTCAATTGCGGTAGGTTCTCCAACCAAAATGGAAAAGCATCTTCTATGAAATTATGACCCAGATTCAAAATTTCTAGGTTCGTGCAATTCGCCAATGATCTTGGAAGCACCCCTTGCAATCCATTGTTGCTAATGTCAAGTTCTAGCAACTTGCTTGCATATCCAAAAGTTTGAGGGATGGTCCCACTGAAATTGTTACTCTGCAAATTTAACACCGTTAAATACCCACTGAAGTTCCCCAAACAGGTAGGGATTAATCCGCCAAATTGGTTATTGGACAGATCGAGATATCTAAGAGAATGAAGATTGCAGAGTAGATTGAGTTCTTCATTTAGGTGGTTGTTCGAAAGGTCTAGCATGTACAAAACTTTGTTTCGATTTGGAAGGCCAGTTATTGATAATGGAATGGGACCTGTTAGTTGATTGTTTGAGAAATCTATAAAAAAAAGTTGCGAGAAGTTGAAAAAAAGTTGAGGAATTGGGCCTTCAAAATTGTTGTCTGAAAGATCAAGCCAAATTAATAGCGTGAGGTTTTTAAGCGATATCGGAATCGTACCAGAGAAATTGCAGTCACGGAGGTGTAGCTTCTCCAAGTTTTTAAGATGGCCGATTGAAGATGGGAATTGACCATTGATAAAGTTATTCCCTCCAAGATCTAACATTCTTAGTTTCTTGAGGTTTCCAAGCGATGTCGGAATGGTACCGAAGAGATTGCAGTCAGAGACGAGTAGCTCCTCCAAGTACTCAAGTTGGCCGATGGAATTAGGTAGCTCTCCGGTGAAACCTGTTTCAGAGAGATCCAACGACCTAAGGTGCCGGAGAGTTCCATTAATAAAACTTGGAAGTTTACCTGTGAGTTCTCTGTTACCGTCTAACCACAGCTCCTGCAATTTCTGTAAGTGGAAAATGTTATTGGAGAAGTTATTCCCTTGCCAGACTTCTTCTTCTGATGATTGTATTGGGCCAGAAAGAGAGGAGTAAGAGAGGTCAAGATGGGTCAAATTTGTGAAACGGCCAAATGAAGGTAAAATTTGAGAGTGATTGAGGTTGTTGTAAGAAAGGTCGAGGTATTGAAGGTGAACAAGATTGAAGAGGCTGCTGTTTGGATGGATGGTACCATATAGGCACTTACAATTGAGGTCGAGGACAATGACATGAGCAGTGGAGTTATCACATGTGACCCCATCCCATGCACAACAATCTGTACCCTCTTTCCAATTATCAGTGCTTGAAGGAGGAAAATCATTGCAATTGATAGGAGCAGAGCAATTGAACGGAAAGAGTTGCTTAAATTGGAGCAAAGCAGTGCTCTCGTCATTATGGCAAAGATGTGTAGAAGAAGACAAGCAGAAAATTAGGGAATACAGGATACATATTGTGAGTTGATAATTGGATAGTAAGAAACCCATTCTTACACCAGTATTGCGTGGTAGAGAGGGAATTAGATATGATGCTTCTTCTATATGCACTCTCCCTTTTATAACTTAATAATAATTCAATAATAAAATAATATAAACTGACAATTGTCATTGTATAGTCTCACATATTATCATTGTATTAGTTTAATGGATTCCATCACTCAGTCAATTTTATCACTAATATAAAGATAATAAAATTACTTTTAGTAAATAAATGTAATTCGTATTCAGCATAGCATTATTGAAGTAATGAGTTCCAACACTTGCTCAATTTTATTACTAAGAATATAATGCTAACATATGATGAGATATATAATTTTTGATAAATAAATGTTCTCATCATTGTATTATGAATAAAATTGTGTTTGAATCATTAATTGGTAAAAGAATTTGAAAAAAGAAAAGCAAAGATAAGAGAAATATAAATAAAATATAAGTTAAATTTTTTATCCACATTTTCGTTTTCTTTTTCAAATCATTATTTAAATTCATAATCAAATATGATTTAAAAAGTGTTTTTTTTTTTGGCCATTTCCGAAATAGTGCCTAAATAAAGGACCCACAATATTGTTCTTATTTGGTGCTTTATGTCAATAGCAAGCTTGACTAAATAAGCAACTCTATGTTGATTTTTCGGTACTATGGGTTTCGGATCTCTTATACCCATTCTTTTGTACCTATCTTCTGTCCCGTTCATCTCAAGCTGTCACGTAGTCACTCTTAAAATCATGAATGGGACACAAGATGTGTACAAAAAATGAGTATAGATGATCCAAAACCGGTACTATAGACTTGGAATTATTAGATTGTCTTATTTATCTTCTCACATTTTTTTAAAAATTTTATTACACACACTACTAACATCAGAGAGTGAAATGACTAACTATGCCTCTATTTGATTAACATATATAATGTCTTGTTTGTTTTTAACCATGAAAGGTAGGATTAGATTAGTAGTGAGAAAAGGTTTATAAGATTATTTTTATTTTGAAAAATTGCGAAATAAAGAAATAATCTAATGTATATAAAATAATTAATAATTTAATTTACTATTAAGGGTTTTAGATATTTCAAGTGCTAGTAAATCATTCTTACTCGTCGTGAGTGATTCCTCATTTTCCATTTAATTTTTATAGGGTTTTTTGATTTTCTAAAATTAATATATTTAATATTGTTACTCATAATAACATATTCACAAAATGATATTTTGTAACAAATTTCTTAACGCATCAGGCCTTCTTTCAAAAAATAATGGGAAACTTATTTATAAATCCTTCTTTCTCTACTTATATTTTACTTAAAACAAATTATTTTCTTTTATTCTAACAAGTCTTATGGATGAAATAGTTACCAAAATGCACATAATAATATTCACATTGACCGTGTATGTTCCGTGATGTGAATATTCACATTGCCAATGTGAATATTCACATCATAAAATATGAACATTCACACCGTTAATGTGAATATTCACATCATAAAATATGAGCATTTACATATCAATGTGAATATTCAAATCGTAAAATATGAACGTTTACATCACCAAGTTGCTAACCGTTCAAAAAATATTTGTAAGGGTAAAATTATCTATAAAATATCTTAAATATGAAAATTAGGATTTGGTGGATTAAATCCAAATAATAGGACTTACTGAAATAGAATGATATATTATGGACTAATTAGAATACAAGTACTTAGAAAAGGAGTTCTTGATAAATCTCTCAAAAATAATAAACTTTATAAGCTTTAACTATAGTATTAAAACAAAAAATGATTCAAAAACATAATTTTTATAAATAAATCTAAAAATAATATAACATGATTTTTTTGCCATTATAAACTACCATTAGGTGTTTTTTGCTTGAAACAAAGGGTAAAAAAATGACATTATTTCGTATGAATTTTTTCAGTAAAAATTATATATATAACATTATTCTTTGTGAAAACCTTTCAAAATTGTACGTCATTATTGAAGAAAGGGATGGACAGATGTGTACTGGGAGAATTGGGAGAATTGAAGAGAAAAGTTTCTTACAAGATGTTCATTGGTGCAATATAATAAATAATTTAACGGGGTTGGATTCTCTCAAGTTGGCTATTCATCTTGAGAAAGTAGTTGGGCTAAACGAGCTCATTTTGGAATCAATCTTGGTAATTTTATGATTACTTAGAATTCACCTAAAGGTGGTTTGTGAGACTATTCGTGTCTCGTTTATAATTGTTTGAAAACTTTTGATTGATAGTAGAATCGGATTTCGATCTCGTGGACGTACCTCACATTGAGAGAACCACGTAAAAATTCTTGTATCGTTATTGATTTAATTTTTTTTGCATTAGTTTTTAGGGCGAATTACACTAACGGTCCCTATAGTTTGAGACTTGTGTCATTTTGGTCCCTGACTTTTTAATTGTGGCACATTTGACCCTGAATTTTAAATCTTGTTTCAAATAAGAACAATTGAAGATATCATTGCTTAATTTCAAGGGCAAAATCGTCAATTTGATAAAATATAAACTAATTTGACAAAAATAAAAAAAAAAAATTATTTTTGAATTTTTAAAAATGATTTCTACCCACTAAAGATAAAATTATATAAAATTGATAAATCATTTATTTATTTATTTTTATCAAATTAATTTTTATTATGTGTTTGGACGATGATCATGTAATGAGTAGTTTTTATTTTCATTAAATTAGTTTCTATTTTTTCAAAAGTCAAATATGACGATAATTTTAATATCATTATTAAACCAATCCATTAAATCAAAAAATTTAAAGTTAAAAGCATTTCATATACTTATTAAATATATCGATTACACATTAAAATCTTAACAACCACTGATTACATGATCATCATCCAAACACATAATAAAAATTAATTT